GTATCCATCTGCACGATGTCGAAAACTGAGTCGGTGACTGTAAGAGGAGGTTGCACCGTCGACGTTAGGGTATTTGCCATGCATTTAATAAATCCTCCATATGATTTCAAATCCTCCGAGGGAGATATCAGAAGGTTGTCCGACACCTTCTACAGTGGGGAGGGGCTGGGTGGGTGGTCTTGGCTCTCGTCCCCCGATTGCAAAGATTCAAATGAATCAGATCTGCCCAAGGGTCGGAGAAACCCACTGGCACTGATGGGGGCAACTGGGTCGGTGTCGATGGAGATACATTTTGTGACATCAATGAGGACTTCAGCTTGGGGCATTTGCCTGTCGGTACTGATGGATGAGGAGGCAGAAACTCTGGCGCCAGAACAGGATCTTGGCACTGAGACAGTCGGGAAGATGTCGATTGACAATCCCGTTCCATCATCATATGGGGTGGGAGCCAGGGCATAGAAGCTGGCAGGGGATACGCTCCATACAAATATTGCTACTGGCACTGACCCCAGGAGCCCGGTGGAGGAGGCGGCACCAAGGGTCAATCTCGATCATCGAAGGATGAACTATGAAGGGAGGGTTGAGGAATCGTACGCACTCTCCAACTCGAGCGAACACTCTCGATACTGGAGGACTGGGAGACTTGAGTCAGATCCATTTCTTGCTCCAATTCCATGAGCTGGATCAGGTGCAGCAGAAGTGACGATGGAGCACCTTTTGGCCACCCACAGCTCAAAAAGTCAAGCACAGTGACTCCGGAAGCCTGAGATGGCTCCATTCTTATGCTTCTTGTGCTTTACTGGTTTGGCATCCTTGCCCTTCCAACATTTTTTGATGGGAGTATGGGCATAGGACTGAGACATCGGGGCCGGGAATTTCGGCACTGGCCGATCAACGTTGGTATGAACCAGTGTCGGAGACATCGCAGCCATCAATCCCAATGCAGTGGTAGACATCGAAGCATGCCCAGAAGTAAACTGAGGCAATGCCATAGGAGAGAGGGCAAGTTCCAGCAGGGCGGTGTGACGCCTCGCAGCTCTGTTCTTCCTCGTTTGTTTAGAGGTTTTGTTTTTTAGCTCCCCTGCCCACAGCCAGTAGACTTCGCTGCAGGTGGGCTTGCTACTAACCTTTAAATATTGGCTCAAAGTTCATTTTAGAGCCTCTCCAAACTCTTTAATTTTACACTTTAAAAATGATACACAGTCCCCTCTGGTTTTCAAAAATAGAAGAAAAAATTCATCAAATAGGGTTTTCGACTGATTACTTTCTCCAAATGGATGAAACCTCGGTTTTTCAATCTATTAGACAAAGACTATTCGACCTAGAATTAAGTAATTTTCGTCCTTCATGTTCGCATATCTACTCACAAGGCTCACCTTAACCTCTCTACCCAACATGGCCAAATGGCCCATTATTTACATAATCTCAGCCTTCCTTCCCATCACAAAGCCTTTACATTGGCTCGGCTAAATGTCTTTCCCTCAAACATGTTGTGGGGTCGATTTAACAATATTCCCCCCCCCCCACAAGAAAGACTCTGCAAATGTTCCAGCATGGCCCCAGACTCAATCTTCCATATTATTCTGGACTGCCAGCTGCACACATGTATGAAACTGTTACCCCTTCGGTCACACTTATTTACTAATAATCTTAAAACTGTTCAATATCTTCTTAACGATGTTTAGAAAAGTTAGAGCAGTGGGCACACGAGTCCACGAGGTGAGCTTCCCCAAGGCACAGAAGGCAAAGTGAATGTCCATCCGGGGGTGCCATTTTACTGCCACACTGCAAACACCACTTAAAGAAACCCCACCATTTGGCCATAGGCCAGGGGGAAGGAGTATACTCACTGGAGTTCAGCCCAAACAAAGTTCTTTTTCATTTGTAGGAAAGTCCCAAACAGGAAAAAAGCCAAGTAGTCCAAAAAGGACGAGAAGTACCGACCAAAGCGGAGAAGATCTGAACAGTGCGGCCGTCAGAAGAAAAGTGGTGGGATTGTCTTGCCCATCCCCTGGTCATGTGCACTGGAGCCCTGCAAGTGACCAGGCAGTGGGTGCGAAAATCTGCTTTTGCTTTCAAGTGTACCAATCGGGTTCAGCGCAGGCGCACCATATCCCAACGGTGTGATGCACAGAGACCACGAAGAAGATCAGGCATTTATTCTACTGCAGAAGGTCTCCCAGCTCTCTGGGTGAAAGGACCTGATACATAGTTTGCGATAGGGGTGTGCATTTGGTATAAACCCAGCTGAATAAATACCCCAAACATACCTTATCAGTATTTTTGGGGTATTTTCTAAGATGAATAAAGATTATCTATTTATTTGATTTATAAACTACCCCCCCAAACATGGCTCAGGACAGTGTACAACATTTCCACGCATACAATAAAAATGTTATAATTAAATTTACAGTTAAAATAAATCAGTTATAATCAGTTGAAACAATTAAAAGTACAATTTAATCAAACAGAAGGTGTTAAAACCAATGTACCATCCACACTCCCCATAAGGGAGAGGAAAAATGGCAGATGGAAGGTGCGAAGGAGGGCCAGATTCAAAAAGTGGTTGTCTTCAACCATAGGCCCAGCAGAACATCTCTGTCTTGCATGCCCTGCGGAACTGTCTTAGGTCCCACAGAGCACAAATACCAATAGGCAGAGGGTTCCACCAGGCTCGGCACCAGGGCCAAAAAGGTCCCAGCTCTGGTCGAGGACAGCCAGATGTCTCTCGGGCCAGGGACCACCAGAAGATTTTGATCCTCAGAGTGTAATGTTCTCCAGGGACTGGGCATATAGATGTTAAATAACAATGGAGAGAGGACTGCCCCTTGGGGGCCCCACACACCCAAGGGTGACAAGACACCCTCTTTCCTGTCCCCAACCCTGGAGAAATGAGGTAAGCCATGTCAAGGCCACCTGACGAACTCCCACATCAGCGAGGCAGTGGGCCAAAAGATCATGTTCAACCATGTCAAACACTGCTGTCAAGTCTAACAATAACAGCAGCGCCGACCCACCTCGATCCAGCTGCCTAGAGAGATCATCTGCAAGAGTGACCAGACTGGAATGGGTCCAGGGCCAATATGTTATCCAGGAAACTGTAACTGTTCCGCTACCACTCTCTCAATTTCCTTGCCCAGAAATGAAAAGATTTGGGACTGGGCAGTAATTAGATAATCTGATTAGGCTACCAATAAAGAGGATATCGATAAAAGCCAAATTTATTCATCTTCTATTCAGTAATATAAAATAGCTGCTGTGGAGAGGTGTAATGTTTAAACGTTTAGGGGAAACACTGCTCTTTAACCAATCACAGACGACTTTTAAAAAAAATTCTTCTGAGCATGGGCAAAGGGCATAAAAGCAGGGTCTGACTGAGCTAGACTTTACTGCTGAGAGGTTTTGGAGAGTGTGCTCTGGCTTTGGCTTAAGCTGCTGCTCTCTGAGCCTGACTCCTGCTGCCTAGAGACTCTGCTAACTCAAATGTTTATATTTTTCAAGGTTGTGTTTGTTTGTTTGTTCTTATGCCTAGAGAAGACAGCAACGGGTGTGAACAATATTTTTTAAAGTTTTATTATTTTACTGTTAGTTTGTTCTTTGGGCTTGGTGGGTGGTGGTAAGTTGGGGGTGGGGGTTGAAGCCAAAGGGCTCAGGCCTTTTTTTCTTGGTTTTATATTCTTAGGTTAACTTTTAGTTCCTGCTGGGGGGGTTTTGAGAAGATTTGTAATGTGTTGTGTGGATTTGGTGGTTGTTGGGGGGGTGAGGCAAAGGGCCTCATCAGGGCCTTTTTTCCCTTTGGTTTCTTAGCTTAATCTTTAGTTCCTTCTGGGTTTTTGGCTTCTGGCTTGCAGTTATTTTTGAGGAGTTTTGTAATTTGTTGTTTGGGCCTGGTTAGGTTCACTTTTAGTTCCTGTTGGTTTTTTTGGCTTCTGGAGTTCTGTTGTTGTTCAGGCCTGGTGGTAGGGGAGGCCAAGGGTTCCGGAGCCTTTTTTCTGCTTTGGTTCTTCTTGGCTTTAGTTTAAAACTTGGTTAACTTATTCATTTTTGGTTCTTTCGGGGGGCTTGTGTGTGTGGAATTCTGCTTGGTTTTTACAAAAATCTATTATTTTATTTGAATGTGCTCTCTCTCTCCCCTTTGCCATTCTTTTCTTCTTCTTCTTTCCATTTTTTTTGGGGTTGGGGGTGAGGCCTTGTGCTTGTTTCCTCTGCTTTCTCCCCATTTGTGTGTGGCTTTTGGTTTAGGTTCTTCTTGCTGTGTCTTAAGTCCTTTCTCCTGCCTTTTTCCCCAGTAGTCTCCCCTCCCCCATTTTTTCTTCCCTTTAATTTCTAGAAGGTTGGTTGTTCTGTGTTCCAAGTGTGTGCTTCTGGTTTCAGTATAGGTGCTGCTAAATAGGCTTTTAGTAATAAGGGTCTGTTTTAGGAGTTAACTTTTATGTAACTGCACAAGCCAGAGAATCAAAATGACTGAAGAAGGGCTGAAAAAGTATTTTACACTGCTACGGCCAGTGTAAATGCCCCCTCCAAAGGAGAACCAGTCCTATACATGGATTATGCCAAAATTCCTAAGATCCAGCATTCACTTTTCAGTCCACAGCTGCATAATCTGGGTTTATATGTATTCCATTTTAAACATACATGCCCTATTGGAAGGAGTCATTCCCACACCAGCATATCAGAGGTTGAACAGGCCTGCCAGGTGCATGGGGCAGGATCCCATCCCCACAATGCCATAGGGACAAATAAATGTAGCTCACAGTCACTCTTCAGTTGTCACACTGTGGGAGCTGGTGAATATGCAAGGAATAGCAGTCATTCACTTAACACTGGAGAAAAAATGCCGTTTCTCTGCCAGGCCAAACTGGGAGTGTTTACCTTTAAGAACGGCCTGGCAGAGAAACAGCATTTTTTCTCCAGTGTTAAGTGAATGACTACACTGTGGGAGCTGGCAACCACACATACTCCCTTCACCCACATCACAGTCAAGTTGCATGCTTACTGACATTGAAATAAACGCCTCGAATGTGTAGGGTCTTGTCCATACACGTGGCAAAGATGTTCGAGCACAGAAACAAGCAGGAGCTGGTTGGCGACAGAGGAAGTGAAATTCAGGAACTTTTTAGAACCGTTCACCATCCGGAACTCTGTTGGCAAATCAGTTTCTGAAACAGAAAGACAAAACATTAAAAGTTTGCATAGCAACTATAGAACCACCAACACTTTTTCTTGTGACAGACACCTATTATTTTTAACTGGCATTTGACTTGGCTTGTTTTTAACACCTGCTACTATATTGTATGGGTCTATAACAGTTTGGGAGGATATATGTGGTTGTTTTGGTTTTATTTACAAAGTTTTGCATTTGATATTTTAATGTTTAAACCTCCTTGTCATGACTACTCTATTTTGATCATGTGGTTAGATACGGTGCGTCTTTAATTTTCTTATTTCCCCCTCTCTCTCTCTGGGTATGTAACACTGTCACCAGGAATTTAATTCCAATCCTATTAATTAACCTTTCCTTTTTTATATTTTTATATTTAATTTTTTTATTAATTTTCATAAATTGTTACATCATCATCATTTAAAAATTTGTTTACAAAGTTGTATCAAGTTGAATAAATCACAATACATAAACGATGACAATATAAAATTTGTAAATTCAGTTTGTATATCTAACATAACTTGGGAAATTGGTGAGAAGTTGTGTCTACTGCTGGAGCAAGCAACAGTGTATCTTTGTGTATTAACCAATCCTATGTAACATCAAACATTTGAAGACAAGTGAAAAGAAATAACTAAACAGATAAGGAAGGAAGACATAAAAGAAAGAGAATTTCTGCTAGTCTTGATATCCATATATCTTTACTATAGTTTTTATTGTTGTTATATCCATTTGTGGTATTGGGACCATTCAGGTGAGATGATTTGTTTGTGGGATAAGTAGTCAAGCACTGGGAACCATTTTTCCGTGAAATTTGTTTTTGTAGGTTTCTGAGACATGTAATTTAATTTATTAGTGACCGCATCCATTAAGTAGTGACTCCATAATTTCCTGTACCATACTTCTATATTGGGTGCCGTTTTCTCCTTCCAGTATGAAGCAATCGCCGTTTTTGCAGCATCAAGCATGACTTCCACCGTGGCTTTGTGCAATCTAGACTTCAGAACTTTAGGCCAGGTATTCAAAAATAAAACTTCCGGGTTTAGTGGAATTTATATAGAGGTTACATCTTGGATTATAGACAGCACTTCCGTCCAAAATTTCTTAATTTTCGCACATAGCCACCAGCAATGTGCATAATTTCCAGTCCGGTGACATTCTTTCCAACACATTGGAGATTGGCTTGGTGCAATATGGGATAGTTTGTGCGGTGTGGCATACCACCTTGTCATTAACTTCAGATTCTGCAGTCTAATGGACATTACCCTGGCCTTAAAGCTAGATGAGTTCCACAGACTTTCCCATATCTCATCTGTAACAGTTTCTACAGTGTCATTTTGCCACGCACTTTGGTACGGTAAATGCTTGGAGCATAAACCTTTAAGTAATACATTCTAGAACATTCTAGAATACATTCTAGAAATAAGAAAAGTTTGTGAATTGGAGTCTCTTATTAGTACTTCCATATCAGTTTGAGGTTGAGACATTACCATATTTATATTTAATTGGTTAAGTAGATGACTCAGTTGTAAGTAGAAAAACCACGGTATAGGAGAACCGAGTTTCTGTTCAATTTTGCTTCAAATGCTCTTTTTAGTGGCTATATCAGTCAAGCGAGATAAATTTTTAAGTCTCCATCTTGTATTTATATTTAGATCAAATCCAGGTTGAAACTTTTTCTGATTTAGAAAAGTGTAGTATCTCGATACTTTGGGTAATAAAGGTCTGGCATGTCGCTTCCAGCATTGAAGTGCTGGGTAAATTAAGTCAATGGAGTTTATATTATTGACAGAAAGTGTCTCATTGGCCCATATCACACTATCCAAGGAGTTTGGATAAATCAAGTCATCACCTATGTTTACCCACAAAGGTCTTATAGAAGTGCATAATATCTTGATGGATGTGGCTAACAGTATTGCTCTATAGTACAACACTAAGTCAGGTAAAGCAAAACCCCCAAGATTTTTAGGTCTGCGTAAAACCGAAAAGCTTATTCTGGGTTTCTTTTTATCCCATAAAAATTCTTTTAAGAGGATTCCCATCTTTTCAGAACTGCATTTGTTCGTTCTAAACAGAAAAATAAATTTGGGCAAAATAAAAGATTTTATTAAATTGAATTTCTCAATCCAATTGAGATTTAGTTTACTCCATTTGTGCATCGTTTGGGTTAATTCAGAGTGCATATCTTGAATGAGTTCCAACACTTTGGCTTGATCTATTGGGATTTTGATTCCTAGATAAGTTAATGCAGTGGTAACCCAATGAAATTGGAAAGTTTTTTTAATGTATTCCTCCTCCTCCCTGGTAAGGTGAATTGGCAGGAGTTGTGATTTAGAATAGTTAATTTTTAAGCCTGAGAACGAGCCAAATCGTTTTAATAGGTCTTGTAAAGCGGGTAAAGACAATGTGGGTTTCAGAAGGTATAGTACCATGTCATCTGCGAACAGAGACAATCTATGTTCTTGTGAGCATAGCGGTTCTATCAATAATGCAAATAAAATGGGGGATAATGGGCACTCTTAGGAGTGAGATAGGTTTAGTACATAATCCATTAAGTTTGGTATTGGGAGAAGCATATAAAATTCTAATAGTAGATATAAATCTTTGGCCAAATCCCATTCTTTCTAATATGGAAAAAAGATACATGAACTCTACTGAGTCGAATGCCTTCTCCACGTCAAGTGATAAAAAGGCTGCATCAAGTTTATTTTTTTGACAATGGCAAAGAAGGGTCGTGGTTTTAATAGTAAGGTAAAGGTAAAGGTTCCCTTGCTCGAAAGCCAGTCGAATCCGACTCTAGGGTTGCGGTGCTCATCTCCGTTTCAAAGCCGAAGAGCCAGCGCTGTCCGAAGACGTTTCTGTGGTCATGTGGCCGGCATGACTAAACCCCAAGGCGCACGGAACGCTGTTACCTTCCCACCGAAGTGGTACCTATTTATCTACTTGCAATTTCTTGCTTTCGAACTGCTAGGTTGGCAGGAGCTGGAACTAGAGACAGGAGCTCACCCCGTCTTGCGGTACCCGGGTCTTGAACTGCTGAACTACTGACCTTCCACAGCCTGCAGTTCAGCGTCTTAACCACTTGAGCCACCGCAGCCACCGGTTTTAATAGTATTATCCGCTAAATCTCTACCTGGGATAAATCCTACCTGGTCTTGATTGATATACTTAGATATAAACGAATTCATTCTTTTGGCAAGGGCTGCTGTTAAAATTTTAAAATCTTGATTTAGGAGTGAAATAGGGCGGTAAAATGCCAGATTCAGGGGAATTAAAATCTTAAATGCTTTGAAATCAAGATCGCCACCCCTCTGGATTTGGAATTTCCTGGCGCCAGATATTGGGTTGGAAATTTGGGCATTTTAAAAACAAAATCATTGTTTTTTCTAAGGTGCATTTCCTGTAGGAGCACAATGTCAGCTTGGCTCTTCAGAACGTGGGATTGGATATGTTTACATTTAATCAAGTTGTTTAGACCTCGGACGTTTGTGGATATTACTTTCACCCCAGTGTAAGTCATGTTGAAGTACTATGTGTTCTGGATAGGTAAAAAAGGAGTACACTACTGCAAGTTGTCTCAAAGTATATGGTTAGATAAAGAGCAGATATATCTAAGAGTCACTTATGAGTTTTGAATTAGATCTAGAAAGGTCACAGTTCTCAGTTGATGTTGATTTCTCTCCCAAACTCTGACGTTTAAGTATAATATGATAAGGATTGGACTACTTGCCCCAAGTGCTCTGTTTGTGAATGGACTTTGTAGGATAACAATCAATAAAACAACACTAGATCTATTGCTAAGAAAAGTAAAAAAAGAGAGAGAGAGGGAAAAGTTAATACAGAGCTAATACAGCAGTCTTGTATTTATATTGTAGAATACAATTGATAAAATTACTATAGTTAAGTAGAGTGTCAATAGGCACTCTATTTAGTACTGTTTTGAACACCCTTATAACTAAAGAAGGGAACTAATACTACCTAAGAGAAGCAAAGAACAAAACAGAAGGAGCAGGTCCCTCTAATATCTTTGTTTGTATTAAGTTGTGTGGTATACAAATGTGAATCAACAATTAAAATTACCAAATCTCCCACCTCCCTTCCCTCCCCTATCAAACTTCTCTTCCTTAATAGTAAAAATCACAAGCTCAATTGATGAATGAAGTGATCAGTGCAATAATTAATTCTTATATATAAAAAGAAAATAAAAAGGTGCTGATTTGTGTAGAAGTAATCAAGTTAACGATACACTATAATTGATTTGGAAACAGACAATCAATAGACACTATGTAGATATGTAATTAAAAGCTTTTTCAATTAATTAGTTTTAAAATTATTTATTAAAGGTAAGAAAAGGGTTCCCTGAGCCTCTTGCAGCTCTCAGCTGCAAGAGGCTAGGTTTTTCCCCCCCCTTTTGTAAACCCAGCAAGTTTTCAAAGGGAACACAACTCTATGAGTAAGGCTAAAAACTTTCAACTTTACTTGAACTCCCCACCCCAACGCTAAAAATACAAACATTTTAAACGACCTATAGAATTATTGTACTTCCAATACATAATATTGGTGTTGTGCACCATATAACAATGTTGTACTTGTTTTCCAGATAGATCTTTAACTTCTGCAGCATTCTTACAAAATAAACACTACATGAATAACTCTCCTTAAGCATTTAGTAGCAGCTGCTTTGTGTAATAGCATATAACTCTAGGTTTTCATAAAACTTTATTTGTACAAGAAGCATATCACTCTCAAATCCTCCTTTCTCTTCAGAATGTACTTTGTCCAATCTTTATTTTATTTAGCTCAGTTTAATCTTTCACTTCTTAACTCAGGTTTCTGTCAGCTTCACTTTCACACACTTATAATACTTTGACAATATTAGGCTTTGACTCTCTCTAGTCGCTAATATGCCCTCTAAAGTATTCTACTTTCCTTTTAGAATCTTAAATGTTTTTCACAGCACTAATATGGGATTTTAATCAGAAGACTGCTTCTCAGACTCTGTAGACTGCTGTCTGACTGCAACGAACTGACTGTTAACTGCTGATTGAACCCACTGACTTTCTCCACCCAGACTTCTTAGCTCCGCCAATACACCCTCAGTCACCAACCAATCACCTCACTCACTCATCCCCCTTTCACCCCTCTTGTTCTTCTGCAACTTACCAAATATTTAAAGAAACACGCACTTAAAACTTTAAATCATTATATGTGGCACTGTGGGGGCCTAGTGATTCTGATTTTTAATTTATGTTTAAGGGTATGGTGCTCAGCTACCCTGAGAAAATTTTATCTGAAGAGCAGGATCATTTTATAAATAAAAAAAAGTTACCATACGCTGTTGGAGAAGAGAAGCACACGAGAAAATCTGACACGCCTGCAAACTGCTGTCTCTCTCTTAGGGGTATGTGTGTTGGCCCAAGTACCCCAATGTTATTATCTATCTGTGAAGATGACAGGGTTGCCTTCCCCACACCACTGGCCTCTGCACTGCAGCCAGGGCCTTGGCCGCTTGGGCAAAAAGCTGGCCTTGGGTGTCAAGAAAAATGTTCTGGTGTGCTATTGACACATATGTTGGGACTGCCTTCCCAGTTCTATAGATTTTGCTAGTTTTGCATCAGTGCAACAAGACTGTTTTAAAACCAGAATGACATTGGCATGATAAAGAACATATCTGGACAGGTGCAGTGAAAAGGGCAGATGATGAAACTGTCTAGTACAGAAAGAAAAAGTCACAAGACAGACCACTGGGGGAAAGTGATGAAACTGCCCCCTAGCTGTCTCAAGGTGAAGAACTAACTGCGTGTATGCGTCAAGCTAAGGTCAAGCTAACTTTGGTTTTTTAAGTTTCTCTTTCCTTCCCTTCGCTTATCATTTTGAAAGGGGGGTGGAATTCCTGAGTGGGGTGTATGTTCTGAAAGTGCATGGGGGTAGTAGCCATAACCGTTTCTCAAGTTGTGCCCCAGGAGTTGGTTCTCATGAGATCGACCTTGGAGATGCTTTCGCCTGGCTAGTTTAGATAGGGCACTGTATATCTGTCTGAGCTGCCACGGCAATACTACAGGGTAGGTGTGACGTATGAATGTAGGGGGTTTCAGGCCTTTTATCTATAACCAGTGTTCTCTCTAAGCTGAGTTAGTGTGAGCTAGCTCACAGATTTTTCTGTCTCAACTCAGGAACTCAGCTCCACAGTAAACTAATTTATGCAGTTCACAAAACACTGACTCACAACTTTAATGCCGGTAGCTCACCAAGTAGAATGTTTACTCACAAGACTTCCACAGCTTAGAGGGAGCATTGCCTATAACCTGTATGTTCCCAAGGTTTTTGTCAGTCCTAACAAAAGTTCTTGTACCTACAGTAAGCATATCTCTAATAAAGCATTTCACTGCCAAAAGTGTATCTGGAGAGTGTCCTAACTGGAGCCTGACAGCATGGTTCAATCGAACAAATTCTTCTGTTTGTAAGGCTCAGATCAAAAAGCAGTTTACCTTTGTAAATTCTTAATAGTTTGTGAGAGCAACGTTCTGAAGGGGGGCTGGAAATAAGAAAGGGACACGGCGGCACAAGACCTACGGCAGACATCCGCTGTTTAATCCAAACAAACAGCGATGAACGCCTGACAAAAGGGATTCAAATCCAGTTTATTCCGGCTGCCTCCTGCATATTAGGACAGCTAACAATTTGGCAGATTACTTTACTTTCATAATCCTTGGCAATTCTGCATGCTGGAGACCAAGCTGTCTGGTGACTCCTTGACTGCAGGGGCCAGTTTACACAAGCAATCAAACAGCAAAGCATTTCCTGAGCTGGTAACAATTAAGCCTGCAGCTGGAAACTGGGATATGAGGATGCTTCTCTGCAAAAGCCTCTTTACATGCAAAAAACTACAAGGGCTGGAAGAAAGGTTTCTAGCCGCACCTTTCTCCAAGGCATCTAGGACTCTAACTTTGTTCTAGGACAGTGTTATCTTCTAATTCCAATTATAGTTTTCTATTTAAGATACATTATAGTCCAAAGGTTATTCATTATAAAAGATGATTTAGTTTTAATTTTGTAGCTTCTATCACAGAAGCTTGTCTTTTGCAGTTCTCAAAACTGTGAATTTGTGTCTGCGGAGATAACATGCCTTTTCTTCAAAGCACAAACGTTATAAAATAAACATACAGAGACCTCAGCCCTTTGGCCCTCTGCAAATCTACACACACAGAATCAACCCCTTATCTCTTAAGTGCCACATTTCAAAAAAGTCAATAAATATAACATTGTTTTCAGACGGAATAGGTCTGTATAAGGAGGAGATGTTAAAACCTAAGTGTGAGGAGGGAAGGGAAAGCTGTCCAAATTAAAGTGAGGCTTTTCTGAGCAAAATACTCCAGAAATCTTGAGGTCTTTGTGAGGCTATACGCATGGGTGTTTAAGCAAAAACAAGAATACTTGTGCTAGATAATGAAATTGTTTTAGTCAAATTAAACACTTTAAATAGTTTACTGTTAACCATTCTTCTTCTCCCTCCAATAAAACACAGCAGGAAAGTTGTCCAGATATGAATGATTAACCTATTAAACCAGAGATAGTTCACCTTGCAATAATTTCATAATTACCTCTTTCAAGTGGTAAATCATTAATTTCCTGACAGGGCTAAGATTAACCTGAAAAGTTGTTATACTGACATGAAACCTTCATCTGGGTTGTTAATAGGAAGGCCAGCAAGAGTGACTGTAGAAAACCATGATTTAAATCGAGTCTTGCTGACTTACAGGATCCTGGTCCCTCTCCTCCAAGTCACCCGTCCAACAACCAGCATGTGAAGCCTCCCAAATTCACCCAGGGCAGAGCAAGGATTCAAAACCCATCCTGTCTCCCCAGCTGCAATTCTGCCACACTTATTAAAAACCCCAAAACATTGGCAACCAACAGGATTTGCTCCTAAACAAGGTTATTATGGGATTGGCCTCTGCGTGCATGCCTCTCACGATCCTCCCCCCCCCCCCGCGCGCCCCCCCACCCCCTGCCCCCCCCCCCCCCCATTATTCACCACAGACGCAAACAAAAAAAGGGAGGGGGAATTAATCGTTCCCGCGCTTTTCTGCCCCCACTCTCATAACAGCACCCCAAACCCACCATCATATTGCGGCTCCGTTCCCTCGTCCTCGGGGAACTCGATGGCTGGGGCCGAAGGAGGCAGCCTGCCCTGCTGCTCCATGATGGCTGCTCTTCCTTCTCCGCGCCGCCGAGGCCTCCAACTGGCGCGGCTGAAAGGAAAAGGGGCGGGCCGGGCGAGGCGCGACTAGGCCCGAGCCTGCCTCGGAGTGGAGGCCCAGCGGCGCTTCGCCCCCGCCCCTCGTTAGAGGAGGCAACTCAACCTCACATCCTCCCGGAATAAAATCCCAGACCCCGAAAAGAAGAAAGGGGGATCTTTAAAAAAACAAAGAACGGGTGGTTCCAGGCCAGGTTGCCAACCTCCCGGTGGGGCTTGGAAATCTTCCGGGATCACAGTTAGTTCTCCAGGCTTCAGAGAGCAGCTTCCCTTGGATAAAATAGTTGCTTTGGAGGGTGGACTCTGTGGCATTGCAGCACCCCTGCTGAGGTCCCTCCATTTCCCCAAGCTCCCTCCCCCAATCCCCAACCTGGACTTGGAACCCTACTATTGCAAGAAGTGGATATACATAACATGGCCCATCATATATGCATCTACAGAGAGGGGTAAATAGGGGGGAAAGATTTTGTGGTCGTTGCGGACAGCTCAATGAAAGTGTCAAGTTCTAGGGGTGGCAGCCTCTAGGTGGGACCTGGGGACCTCCCCCCCCCTCCCCGAATTAGAGCTCACCTCCAGACTACAGAGATCAGTTCCCTTGGAGAAAATGGGTACTTTGGAGGGTGGACTCTAAAGCATTGTCCCCCACTGAGGTCCCTTTTCCTCTCCAGGTTCCATCCCTAAATCCCCAGGAGTTTCCTCAACTGTATCTGGCTACCCCACCCCCCTTGTCCCCTGCGGGTGGCAAGGGGGAAACCTGACAACCCTAGGCTGTCAACTCAGTGTGCTGCAGTGGTGAAAAAGGCAAACTCTATGCTGGGGATCATTAGGAAAGGGATTGAGAATAAAACACCTGATACTGTAATGCCCCTTTATAGATCTATGGTGCAGCCTCACTTGGAATACTGTGTACAGTTTTGGTCACTGTATCTCCAAAAGGACATTGGAGCTGGAAAATGTACAGAGGTGGGTAACCAAGGTGAATAGGGAGGTGGAACACGTTCTCTATGAGGGAAGTCTCAAGAGTCTGGGACTTTTCAGTTTAGAAAAGAGATGACTAAGGGGGGACATGATACAGGTTTATAAAAGTATGCATGGGTTGGGGAGAGTAGACGAAGATAAAATCTTCCTTTCCCAAAATACTAGAACTGGAGGGTATCCAATGAAACTGATGGGCAGTAGGTTCAGGATGGACAAAAGGAAATACTACTTTACACTGAGAGTAATTAAAATGTAGAATTCGCTGCCAGATGATGTAGTGATGGCCACAGGAATAAACAACTTTAAAAACTGATTAGACGATTTCATGGAGGATAAGTATATCAATGACAACTAGCCGTGGTGACTGAGGCACTAAACTTCTGGATCCCAGAGCCAGAAGACAACATCAGGGGAAGGGCTCAGCCTCCATGCCCTGTCGATGGCCCTCCAGAGGAACTGCTTAGCCATTGTGTGAGACAGGATGCTAGACTAGATGGAACAGGGCTCTTCTTATGTTCTTACTGTTGGAAGGCTCAGTGTATACACAGCAATTGTGCTGGCCACACAAAACACGAAACGACAACAATTCTCGCTAATGAGAATATAGAACAACTAGTTTTCCCAGGTTATGGGATTGTAAAAAAGGTAAATGTAAAGGTTCCCTTGCTCGAAAGCCAGTCAAGTCCGATTCTAGGGTTGCAATGCTCATCTCCGTTTCAAAGCCGAAGAGCCAGCGCTGTCCGAAGACATTTCCGTGGTCATGTGGCCGGCATGACTAAACACCAAGGCACACGGAACGCTGTTACCTTCCCACTGAAGTGGTACCTATTTATCTCCTTGCAATGTCTTGCTTTCGAACTGCTAGGTTGGCAGGAGCTGGAACTAGAGACGGGAGCTCACTCCGTCATGTGGCACACTCAGGTCTTGAACTGCTGAACTACCAACCTTCCACAGCCTGCAGTTCAGCGTCTTAACCACTTGAGCCACCGCAGCTCCCTATGGGATTTTAACCCACTTCATTTATTAATGGGTTGGATGCATTTAGAGTGGCTAACTCTGCATTGGGAAATCCATGGTCATTTAGGAGGTGAAGCCCAGAGATGATGGGTTTGGGGGAGGGAAGGGACCTCAGCAGGGTATAATGCCATTAGAACCCACCCTCCAAAGCAGTCACATTCTCCAGGGGAACTGGTCTCAGTCTGGTGGTCCAAGAGATCTCCAGGCCCCACCAGGAGACTGGCAGCCCTTGACCTTTAAAGCCTTGTACACCCTGGGACTAGGGTTGCCAAGTCCCCGCTGTATGTACAGCGGGGGACTCCAGCCGCAGTCCGGGAGAGTGTGTGCGCGTAGCACGTGGGAAAAACATAGTTTCCCCTCAGATGACCGTGACCCCGCCCCCGGCGTGCCCGACGCGGCTGCGTCACTTCCGGGTGACGTGCTGACACCGGGCACGTCATGTGCTTTGGGGGTGGGGTTCCCCCCTGGGCCCTGATCCGCCGGTGGCGGGTAACGGACCTCTGGGGCGGGGTTTTCCCCGCCCCCCAGGGGGACTTGGCAAGCCTACCTGGGACCCAACATATCTTCAGGACCACCTCTCCCCCTGTGTGCCCCAGAGAGCCCTGTGCTCTGCAGATAGCCATCTGCTGGTTGTCCCTGGCTCAAAAGATGCCCGTCTAGCCTCAACCAGGGCCAGGGCCTTTTTGATCCTGGCCCCAGCCTGGTGGAACATGCTCCCAATTGAGATCAGGGCCCTGTGAGACCTGTTACAGTTTCACAGGGCCTGTAAAACGGAGCTGTTCTGCTAGGCCTTTGGTTGAAGCAGCGGGCATCTACTGGCTGACCTCCCTATTCCTGCATAAGATCGTTTTGGCTCGGCATTGGCCGATTTATCTCCCTGCTGTAGGAACTGGAATTGAATTGTTTTAAATTGGTTTTATTGTATTATCTGATTGTATTTTTTATAGTTGTCACCATGAACCTGGTTGCGGGAAGGGCAGGATATAAATCAAAATAATAAATAAATAAATAATCTATCACCTTTCTGTCAAGATGTCCACAGGGCCTCTCCTTTTTTTCATCAATGCCCACCAACTATAAGCATTCACTGAAAGGAGAAAAGTGGTCTCCAAAGGTTTCCAGAGCATTCCCCAGAGGTACCCCTAACCCCCAAATTTAAATTCCTAGTATAATAGAAGATGTTTTTCATTTTTACCTTTTTCTTTACCACTGCACAGTCCACCTGGAATCTTAAAAGAGCACACATATACAAAAATGGGAGGGGGGAATGACTGACAACTCTTAACTATCTAATACAGATGGGAACATGCGAGCTAAAATAACAAGTAAGAAATGCTAGCCATAATCACACCCCAGCACCATATAATAATTAAATTAGAACTGTAGAACATATAATAATTGTTGGAACATATGTGCTTTGCACATGAAAGCTTACTCTTTGAATAAAACTTTGTTGGTCTTAAAGGTGCCACGGGACTCAAACGTCGTTCTGCTGCTTCAGACCAACACGGCCACCCACCTGAATTTTATATAACGACTAAGATTAGAACAGCATTAGCACAGTAAACAGACCAGGGGCTGTATGAAACTAATGAAGTTTAAGGTTCAGGGCCCCTAATCCTAGCAGGGCTCTGAAGCAACTTTTTTTTTTTAATAAGTGAAACTTTCAACAAAATTGATGGAGTTTTTAAGGTGTTTGTTAGTAAAATAAGGCTATTTTAATGACAAAAGCATAAGCCAATGGGCTGAAGTACTTAATATTGACCTTAGCATAATACCTGTTTCATATGGCCTTGTTGGATGTTGCCCTATTGTTGCTCGTTGAGAAGGGGCTTCAGGGTCCCAAAAATGTAAGCCCGCCACTGAAACAGACCGTTTCAATATTGTTTCTCTAAAATATACACACTAAAGAAATGCACAAGCTCCCTGTTATTACCCCCCAACCTGTCATCGCTATCATATCTGTAATCTAAATTATTTGATGCTTTTATATTGGTCTGGTTCAAATTTGTTGCTTTCAACAGTCATTTTGAAGAAGAACGTACCGTTGAGTCTCAGATGACTCCCATGGTGTCAGCTATGCTGCCATGGGGGTTGGGATGCTCAGTCAGACTCTGTGTAAATTGCTTTCGCATTCCTGTCTATGCTTTGCACCGAAACGCTTAACTATAACGATGTGCAGGTGGGAGTGTGTGTTGTCTGCCTTTCCAGGCAGCCGTGGGAGCCGGACTGTTCCCAGCTTCGTCTAGAAACAGTTTGCTAGCTTTAGCCCGCGCTAGGTTGCCAAGTCGATCTTCTGCCAGAGCGGGGGGTTCCCGGCTGGCGTGCGCGAGCTTCGCACGCGTGCGCCGCATGCACATCACCTGGAAGTGACGTGACGACGGCAGGCACGCTGGGGGCGGGGCCATGGCCATACGAGGGAAAACCATAGGGCTTTTATACACTGTGAGTGCTGTGCTAAGGATTTTTCCTTCCACATATATCATTTTAAAGTCTTCTGTACATTATGAATACTTCATGTAGTGTGAACTTCTTGAAGAAGAGCTATCGAAATGAAGATCAAAATCCGGAGTCTTCGTCTTTTGTCTATGTACCATTTATGGACTTGTATTAGTCATGGACCTGTACATTATATGATGTAATTTGGTTTTACTGATACATGTGGTCCTCTGTTATTCTTGTTATATAAATTTACTTTTTTTGCATGACTTTTTGAGCACTTGTGGTCTGCGTTATTTGTACAGGTATTCACCCATCCCACAATCTTTTTAAGATTTAGGTGAGGGCGGTCACACTCTTTTTCGTTCATCCAGGCTTTTTTTGTTCATAGTGTTGCATCTTGGGATGGCCCTTGCTGGGTTTGTTTGTGAAGTGATAGCCTTTTAATTTCCGAATGAATCTGCTCTCTCTAGTTTGATGAGGCAGCTTTATCCTGCGCCTTTTTAATTCTACTATACATTGTTTTTCTTTCTGAGAGCTGCTTCAGGCATAT